GAATCCCATAGGTGAGTTTCGAAAAAATTTTTCGAAACTCTTTTTTTTTAATATACAATTATAGGGAATCGGTTATAACGAATCCCATAGATTAGTTTCGAAAAATAATTTTTCGAAACTATTAAAAAAACGTTTTTAACATTTTTTTTTATTATTCAAATATAGGGAATCAATTACAACGAATCCCATAGGTTAGTTTCGAAAAATAATTTTTCGAAACTATTAAAAACGTTTTAACGTTTTTTTAAAACGTTTTTTTTTACTTTACAGAAACTTACCATTTTTAATCAATATAGAATCGATATCGTTAAGTTTATCTTAACGGTATCATTTCGATATCATATCGATATTAAATCGATATTGAAATAATATCGAAATGATATCAAAATGATATCACTTGAAAACTTAAAGTTTCTGTAAAGTAATATTCAATTATAGGGACGAATCCCATAGGTAAGTTTCGAAAAATAATTTTTCAAAACTATTAAAAACGTTTTTAACATTTTTTTTCTAATACACTATTATAGGGAATCGGTTATAACGAATCCCATAGGTAAGTTTCGAAAATTATTTTCGAAACTATTAAAAAAACGTTAACTAACATTTTTTTATTATTCTATTATAGGGAATCAGTTATAACGAATCCCATAGATAAGTTTCGAAAATATTTTTTGAAACTTTTAAAAAAACGTTAACTAACATTTTTTTTTTAATTCTATTATAGGGAATCGGTATAACGAATCCCATAGGTAAGTTTCGAAAATTTTTTTCGAAACTATTAAAAAAACGTTAACTAACATTTTTTTATTATTCTATTATAGGGAATCAGTTATAACGAATCCCATAGATAAGTTTCGAAAATATTTTTCGAAACTTTTAAAAAAATGTTAACTAACGTTTTTTTTTAATTCTATTATAGGGAATCAGTATAATGAATCCCATAAGTAAGTTTCGAAAAATATTTTTTTGAAACTATTAAAAAAACATTAATGTTTTTTTTTTAATTCTTTTATAGGGAATCAGTATAACGAATCCCATAGGTAAGTTTTGAAAAATATTTTTTCAAAACTATTAAAAAAACGTCAACGTTTTTTTTTAATTCTTTTATAGGGAATCAGTATAACGAATCCCATAGGTAAGTTTCGAAAAATATTTTTTCGAAACTATTAAAAAAACGTCAACGTTTTTTTTTTAATTCTTTTATAGAGAATCGGTATAACGAATCCCATAGGTAAGTTTTGAAAAATAATTTTTCGAAACTATTAAAAAAACGTTTTTAACGTTTTTTTTAAATGTTTTATTATAGGAAATTGGTATAACGAATTCCATAGAATCCCATAAGTAATAAGTTTCGGAAATTTTTTTTGAAACTATTAAAAAAAACGGTAATAAACATTTTTTTATTATTCTATTATAGGGAATCGGCTCTGATAGATGTATATACCGGAATTTCATAAGTAAGTTTTAACTTTTGAAACTTTTTTTAAAAAACTTTCTTTAATGTTTTTTTATTTCTTTTGTAGGGAATTTGCTCCAACCTGGATACCGGATTCCAGATAAAATTTCAGTATTAGTAGTATTTCTGATTTTGTATTTTTAATAATTAATAAATTTAAATTATTAAATGTAATTATTGTAAAATATCAAATAAATTTAAATAAAAATGTATGCAATCGGCAGATTTCTTATTGTTATAAATTTATTAAAAAGTTATCAATCGGTATACTGATATGTCAAATAGTAAATATCCAGTAAATATCCTATTGGTAACTATTAATACTCGATTATACTCTATTGAATATCCCGATTGGTACCTGAGTATCCTCCTTTTGTGCCATCTTTTGGCAGCAATCGGGTTTACTGATTGATGAAAATTTTTAAAAAAATAGGAACCAATCAGGTGGAATTCGGTCACCTGATTGGTCCCCGATTTGACATCGTTCGACTAGTGAAATGCAAATTTTTAATACTTATCAAATATTGTCATTTAATGAATACAAGACTCCCATTTGGTTAAACTTCGTGATAAGGTTGCTCTTCAGAAGCTAGTTCTGGGATAGGCTCAGGTTGCTTTTCAGAAGCTGGTTCTATCTACTACAGACTCTGTAGAAGATTTAGGATCAGAGAGGGATTTGGATTTTGTGGATTATTCTGCAGGAGACTCAGATTGTTGTTTAGGAATTGAGTGTTGTTCAGGAACTGGATCTATGGTTGTATAATCTGAGTCAGATAGCATGTCATCTAAAATGTCGTAGTCATCATCTTCTTTAGGTACGGACTTCTTAGCAGGTAAGTTATCTTCTTGGTCAGATTCCTCATCAGACAGATAACAGTCTGAGAAACTATCTATAACTTCATTGGTATCTTATTCACTAGTGTCTTTAATGGGATTCAGTTGCTTTTCCCTTAACTCTTGTAAATGTTCTTTGGGAGCTGAATCTGCAACTACTTTGCATTCGAGTTTTTGTAGAGCAGATTGTGTTATAATAATTTGGATATAATTTCTAGTGGATCCTTAGCAGGAATGCTATATATATTTGCCAAGAACTTTTTCAAGGCTTTGGAATCAGATGCAGGTTTCTCAGGAGTATTTGTATCAATTCCTTCTATGTTTATTTCATCTGTTTCATGAATCCAGTTTTTGCTGAGGAACTTTTTGTATAGATCCTCCCTGGATATGCTGTAAACCTGTGGTGTTGTTTTACCTACACGCATTTTTTTACTTTTTATGCCTAACTCATTTGATATAGTTCTAGTAGCATTAATCTTTGATAGGAGTGAATACGACATGCTTCGCAATAGTTGGAATATAAGCATCCGTGATGGCTCTCAAGTATGCATAGAACGCCTCACTAGCACCTGGGTATTTTATGGCGTCACCAAGTTTCTTAAAATATTCAAGGTCTCCCTTGCGGGATGGTGACACATCTAAGAACACTGTACGCCTATCGTCGTTTTCCACTCTGAGAGTGTTCTCATTGGTAAGAACGATGGTGGACATAAAGTTCTTGTATTGTGTTAGCGTCTTGTATTTTTCGTGAATTTCTATTGTATCACTCGTTACCTTATTCTTCAAAAAGCGATACAGAGAATTCCATTGGCTTTTTTCTGTGCCCAAAGCAAAGGAATTATTACCATATATAAAAAAATAAAAAAAATATATTTAAAATAATTAACTGAATAATTTTATTAATTTTGTTAAAATATTATTTGTCTAAAATACTCATGATTCGGATCATTTCACATATTTTTTTTTTTTTTAAAAAAAAATTTGTGTATAAACTAATTATTAAATTCATAGTATCAAATTTTCTTTGAAAACTTATCGATCATAAATACTGTATGTTATACTTATTTAATTAGTAAATTTCGGTATGACAAATTTTATCAATTTTAATTAAAATTATTTTGAATAATAGTTTTTTAAAACTTTATTTTTATTTTGAAATTACAAATAAAAAAGAAAATAATAACCTATAAACACAAAAAATATGGCTGTATTCGTAATAAACTTCGCCCGAAAAATAAAAAAAAGAAATACGAAACTATCTGACACTAATATTATATCTATCGGAGTTTATGTCATAATCTTCACAACTTGGCAAGTCAAAAATTTCATTTTCTGTTGATACACTTTCATTAGAATTAAGACCAGTTGATACACAATTACAATTGTTTTCAGAATCAATAGGATCAATAGGATTAAAACTATCAAGTTCTTGAATTACTTGGTCAATATATGGCCTTTCATCTGGTTCGTGTTGCCAGCATTCTAGTTTATATAAATAAATTATATTAAATCTTATTGCAGAAATAAAATTATACTTTTATTCATACTTACTTTTATAAAGCGAAACAAATTTATCATTTGTGCCTGGAATAGGAGTTTCTCTCAGCTTATTATTAAGAATATCTTGCTTAATTCGAATAATTTCAAGATGATTTTTATTTTCAAAATCAAACGGTGATAAACGACTTGTTAATTCCCAGAATAATATTCCCAAACTATACATATCTGATTTTTCAGTTAAACCATATGAATGATTTTCTTCAAAAAATTTAGGATCCATATAAGGTATTACACCACACGCTTTGGTATGATTAGCTGATCCCTTTTGACATGAACGTCCAAAATCTGCTAATTTTATTGTATCTTTATGTATTAAAATATTATTAGGGTGCTAAAAAGAAGAATGTGTTAATTATGTAAATATAAACGAATTATTTAATAATATGAATGAACTTACAAGATCTCCATGTATGACCTTAGTGTTATCATGTAACCACAAAATCGCACTTGCAATTTCTTTAGCAAACCTTAATTGATTCTTCCATTCAAAAGTTATAGTATTATTCCTTAAATAATTTCTTAATGTTCCACCATCTGCATATTCAAGAACAAGCGAATAATTTATTTCGTCTAAAGAGAGTAAATAAAAAACATGTAAATATATTGCATAACATAAAAATATCAAAGATCTATTATTTTTACCTTTTAATTTCGTAACTCCATAAAATTGAATTATATTCGGATGAGAATTAACTATCCCTGTTAGAAGAATCTGGAAAAAAATAATGAATTTAATAAATAATAATAATATCAATATATACAGTAAATGTATCGGTTACACACTTCATTGATAATTGTGTTCTGATTAAAGTTTTTGTCGAATTTTTTAATTGCAAGTTTTGATATATTTTTCCAGTATACATTGTAAACCAAGGCGGATCCTCCCGAAGCAACCTCAGTAAGATTCTTAAAGTCTAGAGGGTCATAACAACGAAATATTTGTAATATCTCGTCATTCAATAATATCTTTAATACCTTTAGTCCATTTTTGGTGTCACATTCTTTGAAGCGCAGCTGTCATAATCGAATTATTAATTAGGTAAAGTAATTATCATTTGGCGTTCAATAATGGCATATTTGTATATATGAAAATGTGTACATTAAAATTTTCGGCCCAGTGGTAAAAAAAAAACCACTTAAATATCGAGTTCTTGAAGATAGTCGTGGCGCAGTTTTCCAAGTCAACAATTCTAAATGATGTCTTTAAGCTTCAGAGATTAATGTTCTGATTTAATTATAAATTTTTTAACTTAAAATTTTTTAACGCTGGGCATTACTCAAATAACAGCAAAATGTGTTTTGAATATTGACCAGAATAAAAGTGTATAAATTTTAATATAGGTAAATTAAATTAAAATAAAAGAAATGTAATTTTTTTTTACCTCCGTTATATATAAACTCATTCTGTTGTGTTACGCTACAGCTGCGTATTGCTGATTAGCTCATTATCGACAGGATAGAAACCTGTATAGTTTAAAAATGTAACAACCCCATGCAAATTCAAAAGACTGGGTTTACGCCCATAAATTGTTTGTTTTAGTTTTGTTTTCTTGTTTCTACAATGAGTTAAAGTACTACAATAAATATGCCAAGAATAAATTAGTTTCAAATGTGTCTATAAATTTCGTTGTATACATGCGGCAATGTTGAAACGAATATAACAGGTGATTTGGAGTAATTGCCGATCTTCATAGGTCACATGCAAGATAAAATGATAATTTTAATCTTGATAACTTTCTTCTTTTTTTTAATTCAAAGTTCATTATTATAACTTTAGGTGAATGACAGAAAACTCAATTATGGAAGGTTTTTTTTATAGCAACTTAAATTAGGAGCTTAGGAATTTATACCCATATGTGCCCTTAAATATAGGAAAGTAAGAACAAGATTCTTGTCTAATTAACTGCAAGTTTTTTTTACCAAGATTTTATGCTAAAAGGTTTATTTTTGCTTCAGGAAATCTTTTAGACATACATTAGGTCCCTTCGCGATGTTGATTTTATTTAGTTAAGGTTTATTCTTTCTTTTGATGGGTATTTTATGCTTTATGTGATTTTTTATTTAATGTGATTTTCTATTTAATTATTGATTATATCTGTTTTTATATTCAAAACATTCAAAACTCATGATGAGTTTGTTCTAGTCATAGAATATTTAATATTTTGGCGACATTGCTTTATTGGCTATTTAATTTTTTAATTATTTATTCTATCTGCATTGACTTTTCTTCATTCATTAATTTTTTTTATAGATTTCTTTCGTTATACTGTAGTTATAGATTATTGATTTGTATTTGCAGTACTCTTTCTATATGTTTAACCCTTTGAATTTATTTTATATATTAATATTTGGCTGGTTTATACAATGGCAAAAGATAAATGAGGTAATAATTTTATTTTGCTTTTTTTAAAAATTAATTATACGATTCTCTCGATGATTTTAGCTTCTGTTGACAAATTTTACTGAATTAATAAATTAATAGAAAAATTTTTTTTTAAGACAATTATCCCCAGAATTACGTCTAATTCTTAATCATCATATTCTTTATCAAGTTGATAACGAGATTTTATTGTTTTTAATAATATTTTCAATAGAATGATTTATTATTTAAAACATTATTGATATTTAAATTATTTTTTAGGGATATAGGTTATGAACATCAGATAATTGGATTGAAATCGTCTAGGAAACTAAAAAACAAGGGTTTTTATGAATATTATCGATGATTAAAATCATTAAATACGTAAGTGATCTTATTAAACTAAATCATCAGATCATCAAAATAGGGATTTATTATTATTCAAATTAGAGAAAGAATTTGTAGCAATTATATAACGAATACGCTCCAATTATTTACGTTCCTATAGTAATTATACTAATGATGGAATTAGTTTTAAAAGACGAATGTTCAAAAATAATAACATATTCTTTGCCGCTTGTCGCTTAAATTTAGGAGGGTCTAAAGAATGTTTAAATAGAATTCATTAAAATTATTACAAGTATTTTATTACATTAATTATTATAATTAATTTTAACTTGTATTTATTTGAATAAATCTTATAAAATTCAAATTGTTTACATTTTATGTTCAACACAAAATTTTCTATATTTTTTTCCTAGTAAAAGCCTTGAAGACGTTTGTAAAATTTCTTTTTCTATATATACGATACTCTAATTAAAATGTCCTTTACAACATCTAATATATATAAGAAAATTGAAAAGGATTTGTTAAAAACCTTCTCGCCTTAAATACATTTATGTCTTTAATCCGCAATGTTAGTTAACTGTCTGTCAATGCTAACCTAATAAAAGATCTGCTCTATCTTTCAAATAAAACTCTAAAACCGCCCGTCGATAGACGGTTGTCATCTACTAGGTTAAAGATATAAAAAAGTTAATATATGCTCACTATTTTGTTTTTTTTCCGACATTTATTTTAGACTTATTTTACATCTTACGAGCTCAATAAAAAAAAAATTTTTTCTCGCACAATTTTAAAGTTTATTTTTATCTTTAGTACATATGACTTAAATATGTCAAATATCACGTGATCTTTCTATAACAGGAAAACATGAAAGAAGGAAGAAAAAAAATGATGAATGATCATCTTGATCATCTTATCCTTATCCTACTTATCCTATCAACTCGACAAAACTCATTTTAAAAAACGTTAATAATAATATAATGAAATTATATACATCATATAGTAATTAGTTGGATGATCAATTTGCAGATCAATTGAGCCAAAGTCATTTCGCGTCGAAGATTTAATCTACGTGAAATTTTTAAAGAAAAGAGTGTAAATCTAGTTGTAAAATATATGGAACGCACGGAAGAAAGAATAATACTCAAATAATATATACATACTGTACATACAGTATATATACTATTCAATTATTCATTTCTTACCTCGAGTTATAAATTTACAGTATAACTTTAAAAGAAAGGAGATCCATTAAAAAATTGATTTGCGAGTGGATTACTTGTAATTTGTAAAGGTAATTGTGTAATCCGGTTTAACGTATTTATTGCACGCCTTCTATGTAATCTCATAGTTCTGTTTCCATACCGTCGAATTCTTCGTTGATTTCTACGTCTACGAAGAATAAGATAAAAAGAAACGTGTAAATTCCTGTTATTTAATGGCATTTTTATATATGAGCTCAGACTTAAAAGCTTAAAAAGTAGGAGAAAGAAAAAAAAGTGAAAAAATTATTATTAAGTTGAATTTGGGTGTATTTTATATGAAAATAAATTGATATTTGTGATAATTTCATATTGAGCACAAATTACGTAGTAAGCTTTATTAAATACATAGTTGGTTTACTTGGTTATAAAAGTGATGTTAAATAGTAAGATCAATGAATAAACACGTTGCGTTAGCGTAAAATTATAATTTTTGTATTAATCTTACGTATATGAGTGATTTATATTTTTAAATTTATGTCACTCTTGAAACAAATTTCCTTCTTGACATTTTTAGTGTTACTTATTCAAATCACCCGAGCACGAATTTCTGAATACGCGCTACGTTTGCTGTTCTTGCTGTTTATAGTTCTATTAAATAAATAGGTTATTATTTCATCTATAATTTTAGCTGTTGTACCACACGGAAAATACGCAGGTAATCTCGATAAGTCATATCATAGATTCCCGGTTAATAGTAACGTAAAATATTAACCGAAATGGAAAGTAAGAATTTATTGTTCAGTTCAGAGTATCGTCCATTGACGTTTTTGATCATAAATAATTCACACTGATTATGCGTGAATTAATTACATTTTCATACTCCTATTATAACCAATCAAAATCATAGTCGATAGTGCGGCCGTTATCCATTAGATTAAAGCTAAAAAAAGTTAATACTAGTTAATACATGCTTACTAACTCGTATCAAAAATATAGTATCAAAACTTTTTTTTACCATTATTTAATTTGTTAAACGTAAAATTGTTCAAAGTAAATTAATTGTTCTTTTTTTAAATTCTTTACTTCATATTTAGTATGATATTTACAGTAAGACTTGGAATAGTATTTATTTAGCTCATTGAATGATTGACTATAAAATTAATAATTTCGATTTCTTGGTATGTAAATTTCTTGAAGCCGTATATTCCCTTTGCTGCGGAGTTTTTTGGCGGCAATGATTGTTAGTTATCACAATGTGTCAGTTGTGTCACGCCATTCTATATCTCCGCTTAAGAATTTTATTTCGTAAAAAAATGGTTATTTATCACCTTTTGTGACACATTCTTTGTTATATACTCAAAGCACGTTTTCCACCTTGATCTACAAAAATATTTCATTTAATAATACAAGATTATATGACAATAATGATAATCTAACAGTTCTGCCTTTAACCTACTTATAATAAAATGATTTTCATCAAATATTTTGTTTTACTCTTCCCTTTTAACTTCCCCCATTTATTACTTTCCAACGAATTTTGATCTTAGTAAACATTTTTCCTCTCGTTGTCGGAAATCCAAATATATCATTATCCAAACTAGCTTCATTATCAATCTTTAAAAATTCCCAAAAATTGATCCTCAAAGAAATATTCCCTTTTAGTAATATTAAAATAATATTCTTAAAAATAAAAGGATTAATGATATAAATACAAGAATAGTACGTTACACGTAAAATATATTTCTAAAATTTTATACACTTAAACTAAATATAATACTGCGCCCCACAATCAATAAATTCACTAGCATTACAATACAAAGACTATATTTGTATGCTTTGTGCCGATACATCTTTTTTTTTTAAACCTTTTTATTACAAGATGGTGTATATATCTGATATATTGATTATAAATTTTATTTTATTGTAGCTGATAGGATAATAAATAAATTTAGAAATGCGTTTAATATCAGAAATTTCATTTCAAGATTACTACTATAGAACTTTAAATTGATTAAATGATTATAAACATTGAAGATTAGGTTTATATTGAAAAATATTTATTCACAAAATAAAGGAATTAATGAATACAAAATAAAGCAAAGAAAAAAAAATATCATATTTAAAATAAGCACAATTAAGTAAAACATACATGAAAATTTCTCTAGATAATTGTAATTTTAATCTATAAATCTTTAATTGAGAAATTCATATAAATTTTCTTAAAACTTTATTTTTATACTAATGTCAAAATAATTTAAATAATTTTATTAGTCATATATCATGATCGATAAGCAAAGGAAAATTTGATACTATCGTATGAATTTTAATAATTAATACGTTTAAAAATTAGTCTCAAAAATATTTTTTTTAAAAAAAAAAAAATATGGAAAATGATCGTATTTTAGATAATATATTTAATAAAATTTTTCAGTTAATAAATATTTTAAATTGAATCCTATTTTATAATTATTAACAAGTGCTCTTGCTATTAAAAAAACAATATAATAGATTTTTAAATTAAAAACTTTATTTTTACTTTAAAATTATATATAAAAAAGAAATTAATAACTTATAAACACGAAAAATATGGCTGTGTTCGTTAATAAACTTCGTCCGAACTCCGAAAAATATAAAAAAAAAGAAATAATATGAAATTTATCTATATACATTATATCTATCGGAATTTATGTTATATTCTTCACAACCAAGTCAGAATCTTAATTTCTGTTGATTCACTTTCGTTAGAATTAAGACCAGTTGATACATTTTTGTTTTCGGGATCAATAGGATCAATAGGATTAAAACCATCAAGTTCTTGAATTACTTGGTCAATATATGGCCTTTCAACTGGTTCGTTTTGCCAGCATTCTATTATATAAATGTATTATATTAAATCTTATTGCAGAAATAAATTATATACTTACTTTTATAAAGCGAAACAAATTTATCATTTGTGCTTGGAATAGGACGGAGTTTCTCTCAGCTTATTATTAAGAATATCTTGCTTAATAATTTCAAGATGATTTTTATTTTCAAAATCAAACGGTGATAAACGACTTGAATAATACTCCCAAACTATATATATCTGATTTTTCAGTTAAACCATATGAATGATTTTCTTCAAAAAATTTAGGATCCATATAAGGTATTACACCATCCAAAATCCGGGTGTTACGATAACATGTAGTGTATGGATACCTTTGTATGTAGGGTATAGTATGCTGTAATTCTTTACGTTTATGTGACATTTATTTTAAATAAGTAATACCATGAGTAAGTAATAAAAATTATTGAATTATCAACGCGTTCGAAATTTGAACCAAATCAAACTCAATTTGCAACTGAAAAATGCAATCGACCGGAAATGTACAGGACTATATTTAAAGACTTTCTGATTATTTTTATTCAGGAACTCAAAAAATAAATATTTGAAAGTACATAAGTGAAAAAAATTCATTTTAATTTAAAAAAAAAAAAAAAAAAACAAAATTCAAGCTATAAATGTATAAAATATTTCATCTATTGATAAAAAAAAAAGTTTTCTTATGATGGAATTTTTCGATTTTTTTATGAAAAAAAGTGCTGATTAATTTTCTCTACAAGTAAAGCTGCGAGTGTTCTGATCCTCCCTACATTTCAGACCATCTGCACATTCTTGAGTCGAACAATCTTCATTAAGTTTTTGCTCGCCACAACCGCTAATAAGCCGCTTGAAAAAATTACAACGTTTCACGAGGCGGAAAGATTGATCTATTGATGAAATTTCAATCAAGTATTAAATATGAGAAACTTGAATATTTACGAGAAAAATTTAATATAAAGTAAATTTTAACCTTCATGACTAGGTAATGCATGAACCAGCATATTACAGACGATAAAATTGATAATGAGAAGCCAAAGAAAATATTTCATCGTTTTTGTAAGGTAGGATGATAGGGTAATGAATATGAGTTAAAAATCAATGGTAAAATCAAATTTACTGTTATCCAGAACAGAAGATCTAAGGAGAAAAGAATGTGATATAAAAACAGAAATATTTTTTTTTTAAAACTAAGTTATCAACCATTCTGAACAGACGTTATATAAATATAGAAAATTTCAGACTAATTAATTTTTATGTCTCATTTTTAAAATTCTTGCTTTTAGCAAAGTTCGTGATGTTGATTGAAGTAATGATTGTTTCAGTTCTTTTGAGCATATCAAACGCGCAATTAATTTTTTGATTGAAATTTCGGATGTAATGTTGATTCGTTGTAGGGATTAATGATCGACTAATTGATCGATATACAATTAATTTTTTATTTGATCGACCAATCAAATGTTTTTTTTTTTGACATGAAGTTTCAAACATCCATTACATGCATAGCCAGCATAGGTACGGCCGGCAAATAAAAATTGATTATTATTTGTGTCTACACTACTTCTACATGAAATAGGCAAGCTTAGTTATTTAAAACATTATTTTACCACTCTTGGCTTTTAGACACATGTAGAAATAACTAAAGATGACCCCGAAACCGATTTGCCGAAATTCCGAAATTCCGAAATTCCTAAATCCGAAATTCCAGCCGAAATTCCGAAATTAAATATGTAAATTTGGCCGGAATTATGCACTTAATTCCAGCAGGAATTATCGAATTTCCTAAAATTGAAATCGATGTTACACTTGAATGACTTGATTCCATATCGAAATCGATTTTGTGGGAACGGCTATCGCCAATATAGAAATGATCGATATGATTTTCGGCATTTCGAATTTCGGGATTTTTGCAAAATCAATTTCGGGGCCATAACTACCCGGAATCTGAGATACTTCCCTTTCCCCGAAAAGAAATAAGAACATTCTCTACTTCTCCGGCGAATCACCACTTAAAATTAATAGATTTTTTTAATACTTAACGTTAATAACTAAGCGATCTGTCAAATTTAAATATATGGATGCGGATCATATATGTACAATATATTAAAGGTTCAAGTTCAAAACTTCAAATATGGATCGGAAAAACGAAATTTTACAGCTTACACTTAATAGGAACCGCAAAATAGACATTGAGCGGACTTCAGTTTTTTTTTCAAATTCAATAAATAATATTTCTTATATAACGATAATTTATACTATAGAAAATGATCTTTTATCCGTTATAGAATATAAACTTATAGGGCATGATTATCGATCACTTTAATTGACCTTTATAACAAAATTCGTGCCCATTGTTATATATCCCTCACGTGTATTTCCATTTTAAACTTTTTAATTAATATTTAAATGATCTTCATTTAACTTCTTTTTACTAATCATATTCCTTTTTCAGTTTGATCTTCATGTAACATTAAAAATTACTAAAATAATTCCATAATAAAATTAAAAAAATAACGCGCATAGTTTAACGTCAATTGCGGACGCAATAAAAAAAATAAAAATTAAATTAAACCAAATATAATATTGCGCCCCACACTTAATAAATTCATTAGATAAATTCCGGTCATTATAGTATCCTTAATTTACTAATAGTGCTCGTTAATTTCTATACAGTAGTTATGAAAGAAATACAATCAAGTCACGTTCGGATTTTATTAAATCAGAGGAAACCATAGCTGTTTCGGCATCCAATCTAGTCTGGCTATTATCTGAATTACTTTCCTATATTTGCTTACATTTATATTTTCGGCATGTAATCATTATTAGTCACTGTTATTATATTTCGGCATTTACTGTAATTATTATATTATTATAATTTTGCAATATAATAGACATATAATTGCTATGAAAGGAGTAATAGTGTATTTTAATATATGGTTGTCATATGAAATTAATTTTCTAAATAATTATACCTCTAATACATGTTTAGTTGTCATATTATATAAAATTAAATTTCATAATTACATTTCTAATATGTGCTTGATATATGATTGTCACATAATATATAAATTCGAAACATATTTTTTACAAATTTTCATGTAATATTTTCTACATATTGTAAGCATAAATACAGTTAGAACGAAGATAACAGAAATGCTAAACTGTTATATTGTAAAAATATTATAAACATATTTAGGAAAATTGAAGGTTTCTGTCTTTCTGTAAAGCCAGCGACCTCATGAAAATGAAGAGCAGTTGCCTCTAAGAAGGTAAATACATAAATCACAATCTACAGATGATATAGTGAGCGAACATATAAATGTCAGAAAAAAATGTGGCACATCATACTACTTTTTGTCTTGTTTGTATCAACGTCCAACCAGACACGGAAATGGTTCAATATATTACAAAAATATTTTTTTGCTTACATAATATAAATTATCCTGACATGAATTTTTTAATAATTTTATTATTTGCTGCTATCATCAACAATTAATTCCAGTGTCATGTGATTATCTTATTTATTTTTTGTTTAGTAAAAAAAATTTTCTCTTTTTAAAAATTACAAACTTTACAAACTAACATGTATTTAAACACTTTTAACTCATTTTTAATTGTGAATTTTGTACAATTTATAGTACATTAGTTTCTAAATTTCTTTTTACTTTCGCCGGCATTGTCGACCAAGTCTCCGATGAGCCATTTATTGTTCACCACAACTTGTTAACATTTAACATAACTTTATTTCATAATTGAATTGTACTTGGGTCTAAACACACTCAAAATAATAAAGTATAATTAATGTGCAAATAATGATTTACCTTTATTAATATTATATAATTATAGTATTATAATTACAAAACCGAAAACTTAGTTTAATATTTTAACTAGAGAAAATCTGAATTTCAATTCTCCATTTTCATTTTCTCAATACATATTCGTTTATTATTCATTTTATCCAGAAGTTTCTAAGATCTATTCAATAAACAGGTTAGAATTTTAGCTGCTGTATCACGCGGAAGATATACAGGGAATCTTGATAATTAATAGTAACGTAACTGATCTTTAAATTATTTTAAAATATTAACCGAGAAATGGAAAGCAAGAATGATACCGATGTTATGATATTTGCGGTAAGACTTGGAATAGTATTTAATTTGGCCCAGTGAATATGAAATTAATAATTTCGATTTCTTGGTATGTAAATTCCTTTTTGCTGCAGAGTTGTTTGTTAACACAATGTATCACGCCCTCGGCCCTTTCTATATATCCATAATCCATTCAAGAATAAGAAAGAATGTTTTGCCATTGTAGCTTTTCACAATTGCAACAACGTTAAAGAGCAATTGTATGCATGGCGCTATACAATTTTTTCTTATCTGCTTTATTACATGAATGATGTATACTCTATTGGTTACGAATCTTATTTTTATTGTTTTTATTGTAGCTGGTAAATAAACATAAAGTTAAAAATAAGTTTAATATCAGAAATTTCATTCCGAGATTACAAGAACTTTAAATTGATTAAATTTATTAACGATTTCTAAAATTTTTATTGAAAAATAAACATTGAAGATTTTATTTACAAAGCAAAGGAATTATTACACATAATAATTATAACAATCATACATTGAAATTCANTTTTTATTGTTTTTATTGTAGCTGGTAAATAAACATAAAGTTAAAAATAAGTTTAATATCAGAAATTTCATTCCGAGATTACAAGAACTTTAAATTGATTAAATTTATTATTTTTTTTTTTTTTTTTTTTTGATAAACGTATTTAGTTAATTTTATTAGTATATATAACGCATCATAATACATAATAATTATAACAATCATACATTGAAATTCACTATCTTTCGACAATGAATCCCTCCATACCAAAGCCAGGGTTATCTAAGTCTCTTATACACATCTAGATGTGTATAAGAGACAGTCATAATACATAATAATTATAACAATCATACATTGAAATTCACTATCTTTCGACAATGAATCCCTCCATACCAAAGCCAGGGTTATCTAACCGAGGCGAGGATAAACGTAACCAAAGATTTTCTAAATTAACTATTTCTATACCTAATCAACTAAAACAAAAACAAAAACAGAATTATTTGTAGAGCTATCGTTAAAAATTTTAAAACGACTAATTACATTGTTGAGTCATCTTCTAACAAAAGCTAAATTAAATTTTGACTTATCCAATTATGATGCTAACCTAATCTATCTAAAAATTTTTCTAAAACTACCTATCCTAAATACGTTACCTTATGTTTTCCTATTTTTATTTAATTTTAACTATTTTTAATATGTTTTTTCGAGTTTTCTAATTTTTTATCTTCATCGTATTTTCTTGGTTCAATTCTATATATCCATGTTTACCTCCATTGATTATGTCTTCTTGACGGAGCGAAGCGTGTAGACGGGCCAATTTTCTTTGACAACTTATCGATCATAAATACTGTATACGATTAATAAAATTATTTAATTAGTAAATTTCGGTATGACAAGTTTTATCAATTTTAATTAAAATTATTTAGTTTTTTAAAACTTTATTTTTATTTTGAAATTACAAATACTAAAAAGGAAATAATAATCTATAAACACGAAAAACTTCGTCCGAAGAATAAAAAAAAAAAAGAAATGATATGAAATTTATCTATATATTATATCTATCGGAATTTATGTCATATTCATCACAACTTGGCAAGTCAGAATCTTCATTTTCTGTTGACTCACTTTCGTTAGAATTAAGATCAGTTGATACATTATTGTTTTTGGGATCAATAAGATCAATTGGATTAATACTATCGAGTACTTCAATTACTTTGCAAATAGATGGTCTTTCATCTAGATTGTGCCGCCAACATTCTATTTAAATGAATTAAAATTATATTAATTATATTAAATATTATTTCATGAAATATAGTAATTATATTTATATTTTTATAATTACCTTTATAAAGAGAAACGAATTTATCATTTGTGTTTGGAATAGGAATTTCTCTTTTACCATTAAGAATATCTTGCTTGATTTGAATAATTTCAAGTTTATTTTTATTTTCAAAATCAAATGGTGATAAACGACTTGTTAGTTCCCAAAATAATACTCCTAAACCATATATATCTGATTTTTCGGTTAAGCGATATGAATGATTTTCTTCAAAAAATTTAGGATCCATATAAGGTATTACACCACACACTGCTTCGGTATGATTAGATGATCCTTTTTGACATGAACGTCCAAAATCTGCTAATTTTATTGTATCTTTATGTATTAAGATATTATTTGGATGCTAAAAAGGTGTGTTAATTACGTAAATAAATAATCGTAATAATAATATCATAATTTGAATAAACTTACAAGATCTCCGTGTATGATTTCCTTATAATCATGTAACCACGAAACCGCACTCGCAATTTCTTTAGAAAATCTTAATTGGATGTCCCATTCAAAAGTTATAGTATTCCTTAAATAATTTCTTAATGTTCCACCATCTGCATATTCAAGAACAAGCGAATAATTCATTTCATCTAGAATACAAACAAAAGTGTAAATAAATAACTTTATATAAATTTACTAAATAATTTATTAATGTTTACCTTTTAATTTCGTAACTCCATAAAATTGAATTATGTTTTGATGAGAACTGACCATTCCCGTTAAATGAATCTGAAAAGTATATTATTATTATTATTGTAAATAAGAAGCAAAGATCAAAAAAGTTAATAACAAAAACTGTATCGGTAAGTCGGTAACACACCTCATTAATAATGGATTCTTTATTAGAACTTTTGTTGAATTTTTTAATTGCGAATCTTGATGTACTTTTCCAATATACATCATAAACCAAGGCGGATCCTCCAGAATCGATTTCAGTAAGATTCTTAAAGTCTTGAGAGTCATAAATTATTTGTAATACCTCATCATCCAATAATATCTTTAATGCCTTTAGTCTATTTTTAGTAACACATTCCTTGAAGCGTGGATTATTAATTATACATATTAAGTGATTTACGTAATGTACGGCGTTTGTCGCATGCATATACTGGTTTTACGCCCACCAACAAAGTTTGTCCTCAGCGATAAAAAAAAACCATTTAAATATCGGGTTCTTTTGCTGTGGCGCAGTTTTTTCTTGAGTGTCTTTCGTTTTGGAATGTAAGTTAATTATAAAATTTTTTTTAACTTATAATTTTTTTAACGCTGGAAATAGCTCAATAACGGCAAAATATGTTTTTAATATTGACCGGAATAAAAGGATGATGATTTTTTGATACCTAAATATGACGACTAAGGGAAATGAGAAGGTAGTTTTTTAACACTAGAAATTTGAAATGAAATAATTTTAACGATGTGTTAAATATAAAAATAAAAGAAATAAAAATTTAAAAAACACTAGAATGAAATAATGAAATCCGTTATTACATGAAATTTCACCCACATGCTGTGTTACGCTACAGCTGTATTACATTGGTTTGAAAATCATGTGGCCATTTTAGAAAAAATGTCTTTACATTCGATTTCGAGGTTTTTTTCACTATTGTGGTTATTTTTTATTTATTTTAAAAGATCAAGATATAAATAAATACTTATTTAAAAACATTAACATTATTAATAACTGTTAATCAACTAAAATAATTTGAATAATTTATATTCTATCATTTTTTTGGATCTTTTAAGAAAAATAAAAATTGACTATAATTGTAATTATTCTTCGATTCGCTCGTTTTTTTCCATTTGAAATTAATTATACGATACACTTGATGATTTTGTTATAAAATTTGTTTAATTGATTAAATAATAAAAAATACTTTTTTTACATATAAAATCATATCATTGTCAAGTTGGTTACAAAGATTTTTAAATTTTAATAATACTTTCAATAAAATAATTTATTAAGAATTATTGACACTAATTTATTTTTTGAGTATACAGTTCACGAATAACGAATAATTGGTTAATGATTACAAATATGTAAGTATTGCTGTTAAGTTAAATCATCAAAGTAGGATTTACTATTATTAAAATCAAAGAAATTAAAGAGTTTGTAATATTTATATAATAATAATTTTATTAATGGTGGAATTGGTCTTTAATGTAGGTTATTCAAAAATAGTAATATATTTATTATCTCTTCGCGCTGAATCTTAAAAGAATGTAAGGATCATTTAAATAAAATATTATTAAAGCTCGGAATTCAAAACTCTAAAAATAGGAGAAGTTAAATTAATTTTAAATTGAATTTGGACGTATTTACAATATTTACAAATTATAAAATAACGAACGGTAAGCATTAAAAACTGCTTTAAACAGTTGTTTATAAAGCGATACGATTAAAAGTGATACGGTTGAAATGATAAAAATAATATGTTGGCAAGTCGATAAAAATAAAAAAAAAAAGAACTAAAATAAGTATAACTATGAAAAACTATAATTTCCCTATATAATTGTAATTTTCAATTTAGTAATCTTTAATTGGGAAAATTCATATAAATTTTCCTAAAACTTTATTTTATTTTATTATTTTTTTAATATTAATACAAATTATTTAATATTTATAATGTGACCCAACTTAAATATTTTCGTTTACCAATATTAATATTTTTTGATTAATAAAAATTAATCCATTTGTTATGATATCAATTTATTAATTATTTTAATTTAAAATTATTTTGAATAGTTTTTTAAGTAAATTTTTTATTTTTATTTTTAAAAATTACAAATATAAAGAAAATAATAATCTATAAACACGAAAATTCCGTCCGAAAATAGATAAAAAAGAAATGATATGAAATTATCTATAAACATTTATATTGTATTTATCGGAGTTTATGTCATATTCTTCACAACTTGATTCACTTTCGTTAGAATTAAGACCAGTTAATATATTTTTGTTTTCGCGATCAATAGGATCAATAGGATTAAAACTGTCAAGTTCTTGAATTACTTGGTTAAAATATGGCCGTTCATGTTGCCGTATTCTATTATATAAATGAATTATATTAAATCTTATTGCAGAAATTTATACTTTTATTCATACTTTTATAAAGCGAAACAAATTTATCATTTGTGCTTGGAATAGGGGTTTCTCTCAGCTTATTATTAAGAATATCTTGCTTTTAAAATTTGAATAATTTCAAGATGATTTTTATTTTCAAAATCAAACGGTGATAAACGACTTGTTAATTCCCAGAATAATACTCCCAAATTATTTATATCTGATTTTTCAGTTAAACCATATGAATGATTTTCTTCAAAAAATTTAGGATCCATATAAAGTATTACACCATCCAAAATCCGGGTAACATGTAGTGTATGGATACCTTTGTATGTAGGGTATAGTGTGCTGTAATTCTTTACGTTTATGTGACATTTATTTTAAATAAGTAATACCATGAGTAAGTAATAAAAATTATTGAATTATCAACGCGTTCGAAATTTGAACCAAATCAAACTCAATTTGCAACCGAAAAATGCAATCGACTGGAAATGAACAGAATTATATTTAAAGACTTTCTGATTATTTTTATTCAGGAACTCAAAAATAAAAATTTGAAAGTTACATAAGTGAAAAAAATTCATTTTAATTTTTGCGAAAAAAAAAAAAAACAAAATTCAAGCTATAAATGTATAAAAATATTTCATCTATTGATAAAAAAATGTTTTCATATGATGGACCTTTTCGATTTTAGTGCCAATTAATACTTATCTAGTTGTCTTTACAAGAAAAAGTGTGAGAGATCGGATCCTCCCTACATTTCGGACCATGTGCACATTCTTGAGAACAATCTTCATTAAGTTTTTGCTCATCACAATCCCTAGTACTAAGGCGCCTGTTGATAATAATATTACAACGTTCCATGAGGCGGAAATCTATCGATAAAATTTCAATCAAGCATTAAATATGAGAAACTCGAATATTTGCGAAAGAAAAGAATTGATTTTAACCTTCATGAGCAGGTAATGCATGAACCAGCATATTACAGACGATAAAATGGATAATGAGAAGCCAAAGAAAAAATTTCATCGCTTTTGTAAGGTAGGATGGTAGGGTAATCAATATGAGTTAAAAATCAATGGTAAAACCAAATTTACTGTTATCCAGAACAGAAGATTTAAGGAATAAAGAAAGGAGCGTGATATAAAAACAAAAATAATTTTTTTTTCAAAACTAAGTTATCAACCATTCTGAACAGACGTTATATATATAGACTAATTAATTTTTATGTCTCATTTTTAAAATTTGCTTTTAGCAAAGTTCGTGATGTTGAGCATATCAAACGCGCAATTAATTATTTATGAATTTTTTGATTGAAATTTCGGATGTAATGTTGATTCGTTTGTAGGGATTAATGATCGACTAATTGATCGATATACAATTAATTTTTTACTTGACTGATCGACCAATCAAATGTTTTTTTTTTTGATATGGAGTTTCAAACATCCATTACATGCGTAGCAAATGACATTGAAATGGGGATCCGTACAAAATACCGAAACCCGAAAACCTGACAGTACATTATAAATCTCGAAATGGCAAAATCTCGAAATAAGTCCGACACTTCATAATCCCGAAATTCAAAATACCGAAACGAAAAATCTTGAAATTTATTAATAAAAGAAAGAAAATCAATATTATGGGGGTGTCGGGATTATAAAATTCGGGATTATAACAATTCGGATTTTGACAATTCAGGATTATGGCATTTCGAGATTTTGCCATTTCGAAATTTAGAGTTCGGGATAATGTACTGTCGGGTTTTCGAGTTTCGGGATTTCGTACCAAACCCATTATTTGTGTCTACGCTACTTCTACATTAACATTATTAAGTGGTGATTAGCGAATAAAGTTCTATCCTTCGTATCTAAAACATTATTTTACCACTCATGTTCGCTTTCTATCTAGACATATGTAGTTGAGAAAAGCAGATAGGAAATTAAGTCAAATAACTAGCCGGAATCGAAAAAATAGAAATACCTTTCCGTTTCATAGAGGACGGGGGAGCTAAAAACTGACACTTCCCTTGCTCCGAAAGAAATAAGAACATTCTCTACTTCTCCGGCGAATCACCACTTAAAAAATAATAGATTTTTTTTAATGTAATTGAATACTTAACGTTGACTAAGCGATCTGTCAAATTTAAAATATATAGATGCGGATCATATATGTACAATATATTTAAAGGTTCAAGTTCAAAACTTCAAATATGGATCGGAAAAACGAAATTTTACAGTTTACACTTTATAGGAACCGCAAAATAGACATTGAGCGGACTTCAGACGAAAAGTATTTTTTCAAATTTCAATAAATAATGTTTCTTGTATAACGATAACTATACTATAGAAAATGATCTTTTATCAGAATATAAACTTATAGTGTATGATTATCGATCACTTTAATCGATCGTTAATTGACTTTTTATAATCAAAATTCGTACCCATTGTTATATATCCCTCACGTGTATTTCCATTGTCTATGAACTACCCCACCAAAGAATTTTCGGTAACGTGACTTTGTACTACAATAGTATTTTTCACAGTTCTTACTTCTCATCCCAACTGTTTTGTATTTGCGTGTTTTTTCCAGTAATTTCACCTTGAATATATAATATTCTTTTTTATTTATTGTATTTTATTTTGTTGTGAAAATAAAAACGCGTTTTTTATATTAAATATAAAATTTATTTACAACCTTGGGAGTATAAAGGTGAACTATCAAGTTTTGAATAAGAACAAGGCTTTTCCAATTAATACATTATAAAAATTATCTTTTTATTACTATTATTAAATTATATAAATAACACGAAGATTTATTGTTAAATTTCTAAAATAATAAATAATTTATTCACTTATTTTAATAAAAAAAAAATTTTTATAAAGTGAAAAGGACTATACTTGATAAGAATTAATTTTACACTTTTTTTCTTGAAAAAAGCCGCGAAAATTTTTCTAAGATAATGTTGTACAAAATAAATATGACCAATAAAACTCATCTCCGATCCCGTTAAATTCTATTTTTTACATCAAATTTCTCAGCCAATATAAACAAAAATAATTCCATAATAAAATTAAAAAAATAACTGCGCATAGTTTAACGTCAATTGCGGACGCAGTAAAAAAAATAAAAATTAAATTCTAATTAAATTCTAACTAAATATACTAGGTATTTTTTTCAAGTCTCTGGACGTGAAGATGGGTAAATAGAAAATAGTGAATACCGGTAAGTAAAATTAAATTTTTTGGTTTTTTATTTAATTTGACGAACATTACTAATTGTTCGTTTTTTAACAGGTTTTTGAGTTTTTATAGATGTGGTCATTGTGGTCATGTGGAATGCCGGTAAGTAAAAGAAAATGTTTTTAATTTTTCTTATATTAATAAACATTACTAACTGTTTATTTTTATTTTTATTTTTTAAACATTACTAACTGTTTATTTTTATTTTTATTTTTTTAGGTTAAATGAAAAGCTGAGACAATGCGAAGATTCATACACTTTTCGAGTTATGGAGTTTTTTTTAGTCTCTCTGAGTATAGATAACGGTAAATAAAAACTATTTTTTTTTATTTTTATTGTTCTTATTTATTATAATGAAATTTATTAACAAATTGTTATTTTCTTTTTTTAAATGTTCGGTATAAGGGTAAAAAATGTAAAATGAATCTCTGAACATTTCTAATATTCTATACATCATTACTTTTATTAATAATTTTAAAAATTAATATAATTAGATGGGTCTTAATATTCTATTAATGAAATCATTTTTATTTAATATTCTTGATTAATTAGTTTTATAAAGGACATGTAATAATATATGAGAAATAATAAATAAACGTATTAACAACAATAAAAAATAATTAAAATTGGCCGATATAATAACAGATAAATATAAGGGGTTATACTACATAATATTATGTTCATACATACAATATATATATGTAATAATAATAATTTTTTTAATGACCATTACTTTATATAAATCAATAAATTTTTAAATTTAATTTCGTCCAATTAATTTAAAGATTCCAAATCACGATACTCCAAGGCGTAAAAACAACGGGGGGTTTTTTTTGATTATATTGAATTACACACCTCATTAATAATTGTGTTCTGATTAAAATTCTTGTCGAATTTTTTAATTGCGAGTTTTGATATATTTTTTCAGTATACATTGTAAACCAAGGCAGATCCTCCTGAAGCAACCTCAGGGCATAACAATGAAATATTTGTAATATCTCGTCATCCAATAATATTTTCAATACCTTTAGTCCATTTTTTGGTATCACACTCTTCGAGGCGCAGCTGTCATAATCGGAATTATTAATTAATTAGGATTGTGATATTAGGCGCTTTGCATAACTCAAATTAAAGAAATTAATTTTTAATATAAACGTAAATATAACCACAAAAAAAAAAGAAATGTAATTTTTTAAACACCGAAACATGACCTCCGTATATATAAACATTTAGATCATTTATAAATATATCGACAGGATGGAAACCTGTAAAGTGTAAAAAGTGTAACAACCCCCATGCAAATTCAAAGACTAGTAGATTATGTGTTTTTTCAACTTAGTTTATATCTTTTTATAATTGAAAGTAAAATAATTTTTATGTGATATAATTAATAAGTTATATCCGTCTTATTTTCTTGTTTCCACAATGAATTAAAATACTACAATAAATATGCCAAGAATAAATTAGTTTCATAATGTAGATAACTCATAACCGTGCCTATAAATTTATGGGTCGGTAAATCAAATTTGAGATATTACGACTCGGACTTTTTTTAAATAATAAACTCTTTCTCGGGTCTTGTTTCCACAATGATGTGTAAATATTACAATAAAAGTAATAAAAGTACTAAGTATTGTATATGTTAGCTTTATATGCAATAAGCCATTAATATATTTCGAGCATATAAAGACGATAAAAACTAGGGACTCTCCATCGTTGCTTTATATAAAATCGCGTGCAATTTTATTTTTTCCTGATTCATCATACCATACATAACTATTAAACAAATGCAAACGAATACAAGATATTTTTACAATAAAATACAAATTAAACTAACCTTATAAAACAATAAAAATTCGCTTTGAGATCTCTTCGAACAAGAGCTGATATCGCTCACATGTTTTTGAGAAATAAAGACAAATGAATCTCTTAACTTCCTTAGCAGCATTCTTGATGTATTTTATCGTTTTATCGATTTTTGCCTCATGAGTACCACAAAAAACAGCATCTAGGTACTCCTCTATTTGATTTTTTCCATTACTCCACTTACTCCACTTACTCCACTGAAACGAAAGCTCAATCTTTGCAGAATCTTTGTCATGGTAATAAAGTTGCTAACTGACACTTGAAAGAATTTATACCCAAGGATAAAATCAAACCGCGGATATCCCATGTAGCATCGCACTATGACATTCTTGTCATACTTTTCAGGTGGATTCTGGAGAAACCTGAACTCCTTGATATCCAAATTTGGTTTCTCCGGCGAGGTCTGTTGTTTCAAGTATTATTTTAGGTAGTCGCATAAGCTGTTGAAAGTTGAAACAGGACGGCTCCAAATTGATTTCCGTTCATCTTATCTTGAATAAGAGCATTTATATATGCTTCAGATAGTGGACAGAATTTATATAAATCTAATAACGCTTCCATAGCAGCCGGACAGATCAGATTGTGCAACTCCTCATGTTCGTTCTTGACTCGGTACACTATTCCAAAGTCCAGGAATCACCAATCGAATCGTGCAGTGGGTTGAGGGCTGCTTGTTAGAAATATGTCTACAAGAGCCAGACGAGTTTCATCTTTTGAAGTTATCGGAAGGGAATTATAATGAGTTTTTGCAGCGTCATAAGACTGTTTACACCGGTATTCCTTGCTTGTGCTTCAGTATAGACTTAACACCTTCTAGGGTATAGGAACGTTTTCCAATTATCTTAGCTAAAATTACCAATTCACGTGATGGTTGTCCTCAGAATCTCTTCCTTGATGCTAGGCATATGACTAAGGACGGTTGTGTGGAGTTTGGAGAAGATCTCAATTGTCAACTTTTAATGACATTGGAACAGTAAAAATTACCTATTCTTGCATTCTGTTTTTAAGGTAAACTTTCTCGAATCGTGCGTGAGTTGTACCCGTATAAATCACACGTGTTCCATTCTTTGCCTCATCCCAAAAGTTAAGATTCGTCAAGGATTGCAAAGATTTAAGTCGTTCAAGTACCAGAGTTTCATTGTTTAAAAGTGCTTCATGCTCATCATGATAAAAAACGTTTTACGAGGCAATTCTTGCTTGAGTAGTCCTGAGAAAATCTGAGAAAAGCATCTTTTTATTATGACTGAATCTGGATCATCTTCAGTGACTGCTATCATTAACTCACCAAGATCGGTAAAGGCCAAAATATCCTTGTTAAGTGCAAAAAAACACTGACATACTTTCATCGCAGTCTAGATCAGATGCATCAGCAATATATATAAAGCACAAGGGAGTTATGAGCATATGCCTTTGCAGTGAGAAACCATGCGATATAAGACCAATGGGGCCAGACAAATTCTTTTGATCGAATGCTTGCTGAATTTATCCAAACTTTTCCAAATTTGCTATCATTTGTTCAGTGATGAAAAATTGCTTTTCCTGGTAACCTTCTATAAAATGCTTGGGCGGTTGACCAAGATTTTTCGTGGTAATTTTGCTGCTGACTTTTACATTTAACAAAGAAGTGAATTCTGAATGAGGATCGGGCTTATACTTATTGCTCATGAGCATTTCATAAATAATAGATGACAGTTCTACAGTATTATTATCAGCAGCAGCCAGCAGTATACTGCTTCCAGGCTCTTTTACACGAAGTCTCTTTTTATCATGACCTGAAATTTAAGAGAAATATTATCATAGCAAATATGACAATCAGATAACGCAGAAAAGGTTAGTGCGTCACATTTGAGTTGACCAATCATTATGACGCAAAAGCCTTACCTTGAAATCCACAGGCATGTGATAAAGAACAAAAAAAGTTTAGCCGTAGCATCACAAACAATAATAACGGCAAATATTTTATAAAATTATTCGATAACATACCACGCAGAGTATTATGAAAAAAAATTTGTAGGATACCATTTTCTTCTTCTTTTGATTCACAACTTGCAAGGGCCAATTGTAATTGTACTGTTGAATGAATATCTATTCCACATATGAGATAGTTCATTGTTTTTAATTGTTACCATCATATTTAAAGTTTAATTAGATTGTTCTCTTAATTCTTGACTTCCAACTAGATAACTTTTTAGATTAATAATTTCTTTTTTTTTAAGACTAAGTTCATTGATCTTTTTGTAAATATCAGACATATTTTGGTATTTTAGTTTGATTGTAAGAAGTAAAATCGAATGAAAAAAACGATTTTCTGGAGAGATTTGATTTATGTTTTTATTTATATATTATTGTATAGGGAGGAGCAATATCACTTATTTGGGATAAAATTGACAAAAATTTTTTTTTAAAATAACAAATGGTTTGGATCAGATGAGAAAAAAATTTCAATTTAGTCCCTTTTCCCAGCACTCACCCCATTTTTCCACGTCGTTTTTTTTACTTTTCTTTTTTAAGAACAATTGAAAGTCTGGTTCATTATGAAAAAAAATTATTTATTATTATTCAGTAGGAAGTTTACATATGGCTTTGTGATTAATTGATAAAATAGTTTGGCGTATTTTAAATAATTTTATTGTATCACTTATTGTGACATACATAACTTTAGTATGATCATAAAAATTGATTCGATGATCAAACATAGCAAGAGAAGAGAACTGAATCAATTTATATTTATTGAAATAATAAAAAATTCTTATAATGAACTTTATAAAAAACTGTTTTATTTTATTATTGAAAAAATAGTAACTGTTTCATCGTAAAAAATCAATTAAACAAAAAAAGAGAAGATCGGAATTATTTAATTATTAACCTCCTTATAATTAACCTCCTTATCAAATAATTCGATAGATTTTTTTTTTGCCGAAATAATAATAATGATCATATCCTGGAATGCATTAGTTCATATCTCGAAATGAAAATTTGTACATTTTTATAGATTAGTTAGTGTGCATTCAATCTAACCAAAATCCAAATTTGGGTGAAAAGTCAAAATTATGTTGAAAAAAAAAATCATAAAATAAAAAAGGAAACATCTTTCCATTTTTGATTACCTTTTTCTCTTTTCGTAAAAAAACATTTTATTTTTTTTTTATATATAATTAAATTTTTTTATTATGTATCCGAATCCGCAGATCACTATTTACAATTGATTTTCTCATTAAAAGTGAGAAGGAAATCACTTCCTTATTTTAACCTAGTAAAAAAAATTTTGAATTGAAAAAAAAGGATTGTGATAAAGATATTTGACTAATCTAAAAAAAAAAGGAGAACAATATAATATCTTTAATTCAATTAAAAGAAAAAAATGTCAATATGAACATTTTTTGATTGATAGAAACAATGGCTACTCAACGAATTCCAAATAATTCAACTATTTTACCATATCCACAACTTCCTAATTATAACCCAATGCATCTAATACGTCATCAATTTTCTTCTAATAATTCATCACTTAACAGTACATAATGTACAGTATTGTGTCCTTCACTCAAACTATCAATAAAGAATATCGATATGGTTTAACTTGATTTTAAGTTTTGCTTATTCATTCATCACTAAAATAAAATTTTTATGTATGATATAATTGATATTTGTGTCTTGCTTGCAAGAAATATTGACCAATTACAATGGAATCCATTGCGCATATGGCTAATGAGATTGGAACTGTTATTATTAATTTAATGTAGCGGAGTCTAGTATTTTTCTTGTATTTATTAAAACATCTCATAAATCACACCGTAAGTAAAAATGCATCTCTATGGTTTTTCGGTTAAACGTCCGATAGATTTCTTTCAATAAACGAAAAAATGAATTTTAACATGGATTTCTATGGATAGGTTTCATTTTTTATCCCTTTTATAGGTAGGACACTGACCTCATGACATTATCTATTTAATTCGGCAACATACGATAAAAACAGTTGGATATCCATAAAAATGTTTTATTATATCATCGTCAACGATCTAGTATCAGACACGTGACTATCGCGGACTATCTCGTGGAACCACCGATTACAGGCTTTTTCTTAGTCTTTTCGAAGTCGTGACGATGTCTTAAATAGATAAAATAGATAGGAAATATCATCGAAAATTAGCCGAAACAATTAATCTAATATACTTTTTCGATGCATTAAATATTATTTACCGATTTCTTTATTTTTTT